CCATCTTCAACTTAAAGAACCAACCTGAGGTTAATTTTCCAAATTCACAATTTACATTGCTTACACATTATACTAAAAGTAAAAAATAGTTCAGGAAAATAATAGTTGCAAAATTCACAGAAACTACCAGTTCTAAGCGGCATGCCGAAAGCTTGGTTGCCAAAATGTCATTCCGTCACACAAGTAAAAAGTTCATAAAATTAAAAATAAAAAAAATACAAAATTCTTTTTTTTTAGTTTATGAATCACATTATACCAATAATAATGATATGCATGAGAAAAAATCATGTTTATTTGAAATTAGATGCATAGAAACTTCAATTAATTGTCATCATGCAAGTCAAAATGTCATTCCGTCACATATGGAATTGCCCCAATATTTATTAAAGTAAGATTTTCTTAAAAGGGTAACTATTCCTTCAAAACTTTCTTTAACACTAAAACAAACAATATTTTTAATTTTGTCCTTCCTTGATTCATTTTTTGTGCATTATTATAAATTAAATTAGTTATATTAAAGCTTTTTTTTTATCTTTTAAGCCTAATTTTTATATTGAATTGAAGTTTTTAATAGTTCTATTTGTTTTTTCATGTAGAAAGTAATTCACTTTCATGTGGATACGGTAATCAGGTTCTTAACACAGTTGCGTTTGATGATTCAGCGCCAGATAACTCTTTGGAAATTTCATCAAAAGTAAGTTCAATTGTACAAATTATTTTATGGTCCACTCTTATTAGTAATGAAAAATTGTTATGAATTATGCATCTAAGAAATATTTTTATTAATTTACAGATTTTATTTTTTGGAATTAGCTTTATTCAGTTTTTAGCAGCTAAATAAGTTAAAAAATTATTTTATTTGTAATTAATATATGAAGAAAATAAATGACTAATAATAAAGAGAAAAACGCCTAGGAATTAAATGTTTCGTTAAAACGTGTCTTTTTTATTTTCAGAGGAGATTAGAACATTTTGATAATCCCCCTGCAAAGAAAAGCAAGATATTATTTTGTTTGAATGATACTAAAGCAGCCGTATAAAATGCTTAATCATTCTGAGAAATACTATGTACAAAGTGTAAATATGAATAGATTTATGTTTTAAAAAAATTGAGATTGTTTAGAAGATGCTAAAAGCATTCGAAGTCTGTGTAAAATGTAAATAAAACATTTATTTTGCTCAAATAAAGAATTTATTTTTAAGACTCATCATCATCATTGACCACAAAAGCACAGAGGCTTGCATTTCTTTATTCCTCTTTAATCTGCATTTTTCTGTACAGATCATGACACTTTTTAGGACTTGTTTTACAAATGGTTTCGAACCAATTTTGTCTTAAAATCTAAACGTTAACATTTTAATATTCAGGGTATCTGTTACATTTTAGATTTTCAAATTCATGACTAATATCATGAATTTTTCATGACTTAACGAAGTTACTATTTTCTCCGACAAAAACACAACAAGAAATTTAAAAAAGCATTATAAGAACATAAATTGAAATGATAGGTATAACCAAAACTGTTATACTGAGCATCTTCTTATATAAAGATTTTAAATTAAAAAAAACAGTAAAGGAAGAGCTGAAGCAATAAAATAGTTGAAAAAAATAAAAAAGCAAAAAAATTTGAAATTACTTTCCTTCTTTTTAAGAAATGTTAATTTTTTTTATGAAATAAAATAAAACTAATTTTTTTGAAATCTCTATTTATTTTGGACAACTATCAGTCATAAAAAAAAATTGCATCTGCAAAAAATCAAACAATTAAAACAGTAACTATTTATGGCAGAAGTAAAGAGAGCCCTAGATATATTCTGGAGAACCAACATTAGTTAAAAAAATTTTAAAAGTTAATATCTCTTATATTAGTGTCATATAAGGAATTTAAAAACATGATAATTTTAGAATTCAGAGCTACTCCCTTTAAATTTTTCAAAACTAATAACTTAATATATATTGAGGCATATGCAGGTGGCTCCTAAGAAGCTATGTGACCAGAAATCAAATAAATTATTTTAAATTAATTTAACAAAAAATTATTCAGATGTTATAAAACAAAAGACATTCAGATGATTTCCCTTTATGAACTTTAACTAAGCATGCTACAGACAAGATGGTAATTTACATTCTAATCTGAGATGCAAATTTTTTTAATCATTGCTAACAACTTAGTTGCAATCAACTTTGACAGCATCAAAAGTCATAGTGTTTTTTAAAAGAAATACATAATATGAAAACAAATTATCATGCTAGTTATTTCAATATGGCAAATGTGTTGTAACCTAGATTGAGATGTGCATTTCAGCTTACAATAAATGTTTAATTCATGTATTATTGGCCGGCATAACATGGATGCATTATATACAAATTTTTAAAAGAAATGTTAAATGATTAAAAAAAGGTGATAGCACAGCAGTATATTTAAATAGGTATACAATATCTTTAATAGCAAATTTATAACATGTTTTTTTGAATTCATTAAAAATAAATTTAAATATTCATGAAATCATTTGTCATGAAAATTTTATTGTTAAAAGAAATGTTAAATGATTAAAAAAAGTTGATAACACAGCAGTATATTTAAATATATATAAACTCATGTTTGTGAAAATTGCAACACCATGAAGGACTTGTGCGAGTGAGCTGAAATTTTCAGGAAATGCAAAGTAGAGCATAATATGCAAATGATTAGAATTTTAGACCCGTAGCGCATGCGTATGCTGAGCAGCGCCCTCTGAACGGTGAATGGATCCGAATAAATAGACGGCTGTAGCGAGGCGTGTATGGTTATCGGTGGTTATCTGCTAGTGGTAAACGTTAGCTCAGACGTTACTTATGCCTCTTCGACGAAAGAGAGCGAGATTTCAACAACTTACGGAGTTCGAAAGGGGGAGAATCATCGGCCTTTGTGAAGCTGGATTGTCTCATCGTGCAGTAGCCGTTTGTGTGCAGCGTAACAGCAGCACAGTGATGCGTGTTTGAAAGCAGTGGACGGACGAGTGTCAGAGAACTCGGAAATCCGGGAGTGGATCCCGAAATGTCACGTCAGCTCGCGATGATAGACACCTGGTCCGCATGGCGCTGACAGGCCGTATGGCTCCCTCTATACAACTGGCAGCACAGTGGTCAATAGCTACAGGTGTTTCATTCGTAGACGTCAACTGCAGCTTGAACTGCGCGCAAGGACTCCTTTATACAGGATCACCATCACGCTAAACCACAGCCGCCTGCGGCTACAATGGGCCAATCAGCATAAGGACTGGCGTGCTGATTGGCAGCTTGTCGTGTTTTCTGACGAATCCCGCTTTAATTTGTGGTACCATGATGGCCGCATTCGTGTCAGACGCTATGCCTGTGAACGCCACCTTCCGGAGTGCATTATCGAACGCCACAGTGGACGAACACCCGGAGTTATGGTCTGGGGTGCCATAGCATATCATGGACGATCTCAATTGCTACGAATTGTGGGTAATCTGAACAACAACCGGTACATCAGTGAAGTTTTACAGCCCCAAGCTGTTCCCTTCCTTCAAGCCTTGCCAGGCGCTGTATTTCAACAAGACAATGCCCGCCCTCATATTGCTAGGACTGTTCAATCCTTCCTTGCATTGCGGCAGGTACAGCTTCTTCCTTGGCCTGCGTATTCCCCAGATACGTCACCGATTGAACATGTGTGTCATTTCGTTGGTCGGTGCCTCGCTCGTGATCCTCGTCCTGTTGCTTCTACAGACGAACTTTGGGTACGCATACAAACTATATGGAATGCTCTTCCTCAGACAGACATTCAAAATTTGCTTGACTCCATGCCACGTCGTGTAGCAGCGCTTATTGCGGTGCGTGGTGGCTACACAAAATACTGATTTCGATCTCTTGTTATTGTTTGTTTGCTTTGAAAGTTTAATCATTTATTTGTACCACTACCACTCAACTGTGTAGTAAATTTCATTCAATTATGACGATTCCTTCATGGTGTTGCAATTTTCACAAACAGGAGTTTTTACAATATCTTTCATAGAAAAGTCATATTATGTTTTATTGAATTTTGAATTAATTAAAAATTAATTATGAGAAATAAAACACTATTTTTTTTAAAAAAAATATTACCATACCATATTTAAAAAAAAAAAATCAATTTGTAAGGTACCTCAAATATTATTTTTTCTGACTTTTTTGATATTTTAGGGTATCCACAAGCATTCAGAAATAAATTTTTTTTTTATTTTTCCCAACTCATTTCATCAAATTTACATGATTTTTGTAAATATTTGTGACCTTATTCAACAGGCCTAGGGTTCTATCCTTAGGCTTACCAAAGTTCACTCAAGACTTTCATGTTTTCAGTGGGTTGATAAAAATTTAAAGACTAAACACTGGGGATTCCCACATAAGGTTGACCATCTAACCAGAACATCAGCTTCTGCAACTCTGAGCCCATGGTCTAGAAAACAGGGATGAGCACATAAGTCTTGACCCTTCATAGGCTGTCACAGATATGTCTTAACTTTTTTAAATATAAATATATTACAAAACACTTATAAATGTCACAAATTTAAAATAAACAATTTTAAAAAAAATTATAACAAAGCCAATTCTTTTAGAAAAAATATAGAACTTTTAGGTAACTCAAAAATAAAATTATTCTTTTTTAATTATACCCCTTGACTTTCAATTTTTGTTAAATTCCCCTATTTTTCCTGATATCTCTGTTCTGCGACTACATTGTAAGCTACAAAACTTCAAGTGGGAGGTTTGGATTCATCTCTTATCCAGATTATGAACCCAGGACTATTTCTCGTTTACAAAATAAAAAGATGGCTTAACCTGAATAAGGTACTTTTCAGACTATAGTGTGAAATCAGCTGCTACAGCGAACTTGCTTAAGGGTAGAGAAGCGATTTCTAACAACAGGAGTTAATAAGTTGGTCCTGCATTGCAATAAAAAATGCACAAATAAGTTTTGTGATCATGTTGAAAAGTGAAATAGAAAATTTTTGTATTTTCTGTGTACTGTTAATAAATAATTTAGGAGAACTTAGAATCTTTTCTTTGGATCCATCCTTGTACTATAAAATATAAAAAATAGCTACATATTTGTATATTTTGATTTATATAAAATTCAGTGATATAAATAATGATAAATATCTCAATTGACTAGAAAAATTTAAGTAGTGCATCGAGCAGCTTTCTCTAAAAAAGATTTTAAAATTGACTTTTTTACAAGACTAGATTAAAAAATATACCATTACATAAATCTGTATAAAATTAAAATTCCATGCAATCATAAAAAAAGTCATAAAACATAAGACATTATAAAGTTTCATCACCAAAATCAAAATTTGATCCAGCTGTACTTGTGAGGCTAGAATTCGAGCCATTTAATTTCAGCAGGTCAGTTTTTGATAAACTTAAGGCTTGACTAGGTCTTTGATTTTCATTAAGTAGTGAATGCATTCTTGAATTTTCTATCTTGTTGCTCTCTGTCTGCATTTTTGTATCACACGAGGAAAGGCACTGATCATCCAAAGTTGCAGTCAAAGCTTTGTAATGGGACATGAATTCCTAAAAACATGTTACGTAAATTGCACTCATTTCATTGAAAAAAAATTACAAAAAACTTTAAGACTCTAATCTGAGTTAGATATTCTTGTGATCAAGCACACTAACAATTGCAGTTTTAATTATTTGCAAATGTTGTGATGTTATTGTGGTTACATTATAACTTACAGGTGTAAATGAATACATGGCTATTCTTGCATTTTTTGTTATTGAAATAAAGAAAAATACTGACTTAGTCTCCTCCTACCTCCATACCACATTCATAAAATATAACTCTTCACATTTTTTCTGATCACTCAAAAGTATTGTCATGACCATGTCTTATTTATTTGAATGAGTATAGGTTAAAACCAGGGTTGGCTTTTTGCCGGCAGAAACTGGTTTTTGCCATGCCAGTGGCAGAAACTGGTTGTAAAAACCGGCCAAAACTGGCAGAAACTAAAAAAAATTCTATATTAGTTCTGGTAATTGCTTAATGACATTTTGTTTAAGTAAACTGAAAAATGTAACTGTAACAAACTTTTTAATTTATTGTTTGTAAATATATATTACTTTGTTTAATATTAAATATAAAGAGTGCAGTGCAGTATATCAAATATTTATATTAAATAAAGAATAAAGTAATGTAATAATAAATATAAATACTAAATTTTAGTTTATTATCTTAAACTCTGAACTTCAGTAATTATTATCATTTAACTCTTAATGTAACTGAATAGAGCTACTTTCAAATAGTTTTTTTTCTTTTCAAGACATAATTTGCATGGCAACAATCCAATTATTATAACAGTTACAGTTTTAATCTTTGCTGTATGTAAGAGGTAATATAATTGGTTAGATTCACTGATTCATAAATGTAAACAGCAATTTCACTGATCACTTTGTTTAACATTTAAATGTTTTTTCTATGAATCATCCATTGTATGTCAATCTCAGTACTTAACTTTTATGTCATTTTCTGAATTTCTGCCACAAATGTGGCAGAAAAGGGTTTCTGCCATGCCAGTTTTAACCGGTTTCTACCAGTGGTTTTAACCACCTCGGCAGAAACTTGCCAACCTTGGTTAAAACAGGTTTGTGAATTTTTTTATTAGAAAAATATGAATTGTCAGTAGTAAAAATCTTCCAACCAAGGCCAACCCACTAATTGATTATGATGAAGTATAATAGAAACAAACAAGTATTTATAGTTTTGAAACAATATTGTTTAAAATTCAGAAATAAGTAAATACAGTAGAACCTCAACCACATTTCTCATGGGACCATTCATTGTGAACGATAGATACAGAACAACGATAAATAGGGTAAACATAAAATATTAAGTAATGACTTGAAAATGTATGAGAAATATTATAAAAGTAAGGATTTGAAAATTAATAAGTTGACTGTAAGTATTAAAAAAATGGTAAGTAAAAAAAAATCAACAGAATGAACACTTTTGTTTCCTTGAAATATTCGAAAATTTTAGTTTGAATACAACCTTTTTATCTCTGCGCAAAAAAATAAAATTTCGACATTTGTGAAACATTTCTGTGAATTTTCTGTATACTCCCATGACTACAGAATGTTGCTCATTGTTTCAAAAGCTTTAAAGCCTTCTGCAAATGTTGGCAATTTCTTTTCAACTTTTTCATTGGTATCACTTTCACACTTCTTCAGCTTTTGCAACCATTTCTTGAATCGACGATATAGGACAGTAAAAAATCCTCTTTTTCTTCCTTTATTAGCATCAGGAGTTAATATTTTTCTTCTCGAAACAAAAACTTAGATATTTTTAAATGTGGCAAAATTTCTGAACAATAGACGCAGGAATTCGCTAGCTTCAAGAATGATCTAAACAGGTATTATTAACATCGAAAGACTAGTATTTGAGATGGAACTATTTAAACAAGAATACGGAACATATAGGAAAACGGAAAATATGGGAAAGATGGATCGAGGTTCGACTGTAATAAGTATAAAACTAAGTTCAAACTGTGGAAAGGATGGAAGATAGCATTTAAGAAGAAAAGATTTAATTTTCAGAATATCTAGAAATATCAAACAAAAAAAAATATATACATACATTAAGGTCTTCATCCACTTTTATGTTTTTCATAGTATTATAAGCTGTAGTATACATTTCAATAGCTTTCACGCAAAACATCATTTCAATTTTTATAAAATTGAGCAGAACATGCTAGAAGGAGAATAAAATCAAAATGAAACTAAATGAATTAGTAAATTGTAGATTTATATTTATGGGTGTTGCATTAAGGGGGCACAAGGGGACACATACCCCTCAAAAAGCTTCCTCAATAATTCAAAGTCATTTTTTTAGACCCCGAAAAGCTATTATTTATTTAAAAGTAAGAATTTAAACAAAAATCATTTAAAATAATTTAGATAGTTTATAAATTATTTAACTAAATCCTTTTATGCTTTAATTTTTATGATTATAATTGTTTCAAAGATATTTTATTACTATAAAAAGTTTAGCAGGGTCAGGTGGGATAAAGTGGGTAAAAGATAAAAAAAACATCTATTTTCTCATTTTAAATTGAGATAATTGACATTTTTAGAACTATTTACTGGGATTGCAGCAAGCATTTTTATTTCAGCTTTTTAAAACTGATAAAAATTTAATGTTTACGAACTATCTGCTTTTGATCAACTTATACAATATGTTAGCTTAAGCTGTTGATGAACTTTCTTCTAATATCATTAAAAACTGGCAGAAACTACTAATTTTAGTTCAAACTGGTTGAGGAACATCAAAAGAACAGATCTACATATCACAATTTAAGAATAAATACAGATAGAATATAGATATGAATAGATGGATCTTAATTTAAGAATGAATTTCAAAATTCTATTTATTATGAGTTGTTTATTGAGGTGGAGTAAAGTGGATATATGGTTAGGCTTAGCTAAGTGTTGTATGATAGGCATTTTTTTTTCACTTCTGTGTTAGCTTTAATAAGTATCTAATGCTCTATATTTTATAATAAAATAGCTACAAAATAACTTACTTGGTCGTTTATAGACCTACATAGTAATTTTAACACTGAAAACAAGATATTTTTTAAAGTTTATTTTTTAAAGTGAAGAATAATAGAGGGGGAAATACAATATAACAGACATATACATTAAAACAATTACCAAAATACCATAATGGTTTAACTTAGTGAGCATTACCAAAATACCATAATGGTTTAACTCAGTGAACTCATTTAAAGATATATAAATGAGTTATACACATTCATATGGCAGTTTTTTCATGAAAAAAAAAACAATTTCCTTCAAATAACTAAATTAAATTACATGTCTGCTATAAATAGCAAAAACACTTTAAATTACCACTTTAGATATTAATTTTTGCATTTATATTTAAAATAAACCAAAAACTATTAGTTTTCTATATTGGAAATTGTGTATAGTTCAGCAAAGTATACTGCATCCAAAGTGAAACGTAATTTTGATAGCCATGAAACATTAACACTTTAATTTAACAATACGAAATTTTTTTTTTTTAAGCATTCATTTTTTAAAAATATAATCATGATTAATAAATTAAATGTAATAAGTTAAGAGCATTTTTATTTTTAAAACGATATTTATATATGTTTTTTTCAGTGAAATATATACTAATTTTAGAACTATACCCACTGGGGTAAAATGGAAAAAAAAATTTAAATGCATTCCTGAAACGAAACAATAAAACAAAATAAATAAGTCGTGCTTTATTATATTTAAGTATATAAAATACTTAATTAGTATTAAAATAGAATCTAATGTATATAAAATACGTCAAACTTTTCATTCAAATAAATTTAATGTTTGGTTTCAGAACCTTCTTTAAAAAAAGCTGGATTTTATAAAAACTTTACCACACCTGATCCTATTATTTAATAATATTTTCGTTTCCTAATAATAAACAACTTACAACATGTTTCGAGCTCATAAAACTATAACTTTACTATAAATTTTTAGATAAAGTTTGGGATACTATCTTTAATATTTTTATTATTAACTAATAAATACCATTTTATAGGAAATATAGTTTTTATTACTAATCAATTTTAAATGTAATGTACAATTTTTGACATATTTCAATATAATGTATTTAAAACTACTTTTTATGATCAAATTGTTTGAAAATTTGACACCGACTCTATATGTTTTCTAAAAAATAAGAAAAATATGTGCCCCTCCAAAAAGTTCCCCCTACACATAGGCTTACGTTAAAAAACAATATATGTTTGAGATTTAGATTTTACTTACTTATAATATCACAAACAAACCAAGTAGGATTTATAGTTGGAAATTGGTTATAAGTTTTTGTAGTGGTAACAATATTTTTTTTTTCAAAATGAAAATCTGCAAATTTAATAATTTACCAAATTGCAATGAATAATTACAGGGATTATATGAGTTTCAAAACCCTTAGAAAGTTTTCAATTTATATAATAGTTTTTATAGCTTTTAAACAGTCATTATTTTTCACAGATTTTGTTGATTTTAAAATGTTCTTATTTTTGGCACCCTATTAAAGAATTATTATCAACTATTTAAAAAAATTTTTGTAACATTAAAGTTAAAAGTTCTTTTTTTCCCTTCTTTATTACAGCACCTTATATCATTAATAGACTATATATTTTTTTTATTTATTTCTAACAATAGCACTTGATATATATCATTCGCTGGAGTGTAAAAACACTCTGCACAGACTCATAAGGAATAACAACAAATAAAAAAATAGACTACATTAACAATGCATAAATAATGGCAGTTATCCTTTCGAAAAATTATAGATTTCAGAACTATTAATTTTACTGAAATGTTTGAGATAGAGCATTATATATGATCTTTTTATTTTGAAAATTAGACTTTAGATTGATTAAATATGAGTAAATAATTTAGTGTTTTCATATCAAAAGTCAATAGGTTAATTTTTTTTTTACATTAAATTTTCAGGAACTATCAATTAAAAAAATTCTACCTTAATGTTTTCTAGCTTTTTTCTCTCAAGAGATTTTAGTCTTTGTGACATTTCAAGGGCTGCATGTATAGCTTCTTCTCTAGCAAGATTTGCTTCCTTTTCAGCCTATGATGGAAAAAAGTAAATGTGAATTTGATCTTGATTAAAAATTTAAGAAATTATTTAAAAAGTAGTATTGATTACCTAAATGTTCATCACGTATACATAAGTATGCAGATTATTTTTTAATTGAATAATGCAATAATTATTTAAAAAAATAACACTAAGCAAATATTTAACTGAATAAAAAAATACATTAAAATAGAAGTAAAATTCCAAAATTAAATTTAAACAAAAATTTAAAAACATAAAAGGATTGTAACCATTGGATCATATGATGATAATTTTAGGACTGTAAATACATAAAAATTCATTCCAAGAGGTTATATGAAAAACATTAGCATAAATCAAAAAACGCTTAAAAAAATAATAATGACTAACTTAGAACCTAAAAAAGGCTTTGTTTTTCCTACATATCTTACCAAAAAAAAATTTTTTCTTTCTTTTGCATCTAGTAAGAAATAAGCATGAAAACATAATATTTCAAAAGCACATATATCAGCTAGCATCTGCTCTCATAATATAACTACTTAAAATTAACAGGTGAAATACATCTTAAAGCTAGCTTAACAGTTATCCTAACAAATAAAAAATATCTAATACACGTTAATAACCTTTTTCTTTATTTCTCTCACAGCTCCACTTAAAGTAATTATAACTCTAGAGTCTAGACATAAAAAGTTTCCATTGATTTATCTCAACTTAATAATAATGCGCCTAGAAAGATTTCAAAAATTTATAAACCCTTCTTTTTTAACTAATGTTACATAGATCTTTTTTTAACTAATTTACTAACTTCTCACTTTTGATTAAATGTAACATCAAACAAAAAAGATTTTTTTATTGATAAACTTTCCATTTTGTAAAAAATATTTTATCAAAGAAATTGTTAATTTTTTAAGAAATAGATAAATATACATTTCCCTTTTACTATGTTTTGTGATCACTTACAATGCAAGTAAATGAAGGACACTACATACTAGGATACCTTACCTTGTAAGGCTTTTGTCTGAGCAGTATCATATTTTTAATGCATAACATTTTAGACTGATTACACTTTGTAACAAGAAAATTTTTTTTTATAAGGATACAATACTTAAGAACTTTTTTAAAAAAATGTAAAAGAAAAATATATATTGTTACACTTACAGAAATTGAATTAAGTACTGATTATTTAAATAACTAAGAAAAAAACACTATAAAAATATTTTTAATTCTACATTTTCTAAATAATCATTTAATAAAATATATGATGTATTTATAAAGTCACAAACATTAACAACACAACTGTAAATGTTATATTATTTTCACAAATCTAAAGCTCGTAGAATGTGGTTAGATAATATGTCTTAATAATGATTTAAAAACATAAAGATTAGAAAGTGCATTCATAGTAAGTTACTCTGCATTATTTCACATAAAATATTGTACAAAAATGTGCTAAGTTTATAGCATATTAATCATACTTGTCTTTTTTGAATAATCCTATGGGCTAAATATTATTTTTTTCATGCTGCTCAGATATGAACTGGGTTTATCAAATTTCCATCTGCATTCCATTCATTTACCAGAACTAGCATACAAAGCTCAGCTGATTTAGCCGTTTTGCCAGAATCATTAACACAGAATTCAAACTTTAGTCTTCACTTTGCTTAGATATTTATTTAACAGTTAATAAAAAGAGTAATTATTAATAACAAAAGGATACAATAGTTTAAGATTGAGATAAAAATATTGCAAATAGAATATAGATACATATACTTTCTTGGAGATAATGAAGTAAGGAATATGTACTCACATGGGTCTGAGAAATATTAAGGAAAATTGTGACATATTAATTAATCATAAGACATCAAATAAATATAATTTCTATAATCAAGTTTATCAAAGCTGGAAAAATAATAAAAAGTGATTAACATTTTTCCTCAAAGTATGGCAATTTTCACTACTAATGCAGTCACAGAAAGAAAGTTCAAAATATTTAATAAAATGTTAAAAAGCTGATGGCATGCGAATGTTACTTGTAATCGATTAAATGACTGGCACGTATGTAGAGTGAGGTTAACATTAAATTTGGTTGGTAATGGTGAGGAAAATCAGAGAGAGAGGTGTATTAGCCTAGGTACTGTCAACGTCATCTGACTAGGACCAAAATTACGTAATATTCCAAACTTTGCCAATAGAAGATAGATCCCAGAAAACAGGGCTGGGTGCTTGGGATGTGAAGAGGGCAAATTATAAAATAGCCGAAGGCATCCAGCCAAAGGTGGTGTCCATTTCATGACTATGGACACTAAAACTTTAAATCCATTAACATTATTTTCATTATAAATTTGAATTAAGTGATAAACAACTTAAGCATAATACTTAACAGTGATAATAACTTGAAAAATAGTATAGGATTTTCAAGCAAATTAAATAATAGTTTTAGGTCACTTCAATAAAATTTCTTTACATTTAAGAATATTCTATCGGAAATAATAAATTTGTTTTTCCAAAGAATAATTATCGTGTATATTTATATCAAAATGAATTAAAAATATGAATTTATATTTTTATAAATATTTCCAACACAAAGATAATAGTAATTTTTTCACTCTCTACAGTGATTATATCCCTTCATCTTTTTAGGGGCATCTAATTTAGAAGTTCACCTCGTGTAAGCATAAATTTTCGCATCTCACTGAGATAAGATAACGAAGCACACTGCTTAAACAAATACAAATGATTCCCACATCTAATATTCAGTTTATAAGCTTAATTGATTATGCAGAAAAATTGTGATTGTTAATTTATGTTTAGCTTTCTTGTATAATTGTTAGAACTGCTTTTTTAAAAAGTGATTATAAACAAAAAGATACAATCTTTTGTAAATCCGGTGGGTCTTTGGCTTGCAATTTTTGGAGCTGATTTTGTTTTTTGATATCAAGTAGCTTTGCTTCATAACTCTTTTTGAATTCATCCTGAAAAAGAGATCAATAAATTTTAATTTGCCAAATGTATCTTTAAAAATAAAATGAAGGCTTGAAATATAAAATTAACATCGTTTCACCTTATTTCCTTCGCACAATCTTAATTCTTTAGGCTTAGACAGGAAATATGATTACCTGCCAAATCATTTTCCTTCTTTGAAAAGATAAAGTGCTCTGCTATTTTAAGAATCCTGCCACGCACTTCAAAAGAATTTGTCTTTTGTTTATTATAGATATACTGAATTCCTTTTTGACAAATTATTGTTGAAATAAATTTTTAGTGTAATTAATGAAGTCAAAAGCTAATGTACTTAATTTTTTCTGTAGCATTTTGTGATAACTACGTAAAAACAGTCCAGTCTAGATACATAATTAAAATAGTTGTTCAAAATAAAAGGAAAAGTGGTAAATGTGTTTTCATCTTTTTGTCCTTTACATAGTTACTTAAACATTGAATATGTGCTTTTGCTTATAACAACAGGCTCACAATAACGATAATTCAATCTGCTATTGCGAATTATCTTTATAACAGACTTTTACTACATTTAAGAACAAATTTAGTGTAATAAAGCTACAATTTTTTTATTTAGATATTATAGTTTTTATCCATTTTCTCATTTAACCACCTTTCTCCAAAAAAAAAAAAAATTAAAACTCCAAATAATTGAACTTATATATTTTTCATGTGTGATTAAATGAAGTAATTACACAAATAAGTTATGTGTATGACAAATAATCATTCTAAAATCTTTGCTTGAATTTTTCAGCATTATTAAATTATGATAGAAATTTCTTTATATAAATTTGCATTTTCCAAACTTAATGTTAATGCGATTAAGGAAAGGAATTTAATAACTAGTAAATCATGATATTATGTATCACGAACTTAAAAAAACTACTATAAAACATAAAATTATTTATTAATTAAATGAGATTGATTTTCTTATAAAAGCTGTAATAAAACAATTCATAGGTGCATATTAAATAAACACTAAATAAAATCCTCAGAATTTTTAAGAAAAATTTGTTGGATGAATTCTAGTAATAGGACAAAAGTTATTATGAGGCTTTTCAAAATACTTAATAATCTTTTAAAAATAATAATTTAACATAAATATTTTTAGATAAAGATAAAGTAAACAAATAATTTACGATAATTACGATATTATACATTTAAGATTATAATCACACATACTTTTGTCCTTTTGCAAATAGGACCATAACTTTTAAGTTCTTGTATAGCATTAGCTTCAATATATTGAATCTATAAGAAAAAATGGTAATTAGAAGATGATCTGAATGAGAAAATTAGGAAATGATAAAAATTAAATAATAGAAAAATTCCTAAGTTGCATGCATAAAAATCATTACATTTTTAATATTAATTTTTATCTCTGTAAAAACAGCAAAATTAACAGATTAAATATTAAGTTTCTATTGATAAGGGTGTAAATTAGATTATACTTCTTGTATATTCAGGGAACGTATTTTATAAGACCAAACTGGATAAATTTTTCATTGGCTTGTAACTATTGAGTGGGATGTAAAAAGTACATACATTCAAAGTGATAAATTGGTTAAGCAAACAAATCAACTTCATTTTTAAGTGCTGAGAGATCAATTTGGTGTTTTTCTAGCTTCATGCTGGTTGTGATTAAGTTGGAACAACATTTAAAATCACAAAAAGAAAAATTTAAGACCTAAAGCCATTTTGTGGTCATATGGTATACATTCCTCAGCAAAATTATCACCATATGATACATAAATGCGCTAAATATAATAAATTTTTTATTCATGATTTTGAACATCATTTGCACTTTATAACTATATCAAAAAAGTGAACTCTTATTACTCCTAGACCTATCAAGAAAAGTCTCTTTTTTTATCAATAATTAAACCCAATTATGAATCAAATTCTTTTGAGTAAATTCTATTTAAAAGCATAAATTTTAAAATTGAATAATTATTTTAAAATTCCAGATACATACTCTCTGAGTATAAATTGAAATCAAGCCCGAAAAATAAATTGAATTAAATTTAAAATATTTATCTAGCGTTATTTGTACATTGTATGTATTTTATAACAAACTTTGTAAACCACTAATGTAAGTATCCAAGTTTATAAAAGCACTACCTGAGCTTCTCTATCATTTTGAAGTGAAGCAATGGTGTCAGATAACTCATGAATAGCAAACTTGAAGCTTTGATTGAGGGTCTCTTTTGAGATAAAGTTTTGAAGACTTTTAGCTAAATCATCCCCACTATCTTTAAGTGATGCTAATTTTTTATTGTAGATAGAGAACTTTGAGCAAATACTGTTGGTATGCTTTTCAACATTGCTAATTCTTTCTTTAATAAACGTGTTTTCTAGCTCACTGCAAGAAAGAAAAGCAAAATTACATTAGGAAATAAATAATTATTAACAAAATAATTATTATGAAAATTAGCGAAAACCTCTGCCATGCCAATATCTAATTTTTCTTTTAAAAGTCATGTCTAACCAGTGGCATAGTAATAATATACAATACAGAGTTCTTCTTAGGAATAAAAAAAGGCAGAGTACTTCCTCTCTGAAAAGATCACTTGAAGTTTTGAAAGGGTAAACAAGAAGCACTTAACACAGTAAAAATTTATCAAAATGTGTAATAGTATGTAATAACTGAAGTTTATTCTCAAAAATGTTTAAAATTACTCTCTTACACTTCCTTATGTGTATATTTCAAAAAGTAATTTTCTCTCAATATCAAAACAAGATAAAAATTTGTAGTTTATAAAATAATCAAAGGCTTATGAGTTAATGCACTTTTTATATATATTATATATTCAATATAGGTGTTATCGTTAAAGTACATAAATTTATTGAATTCTAGGATTTAACTAGGTATTCCATAGAATAACAATTACTTAATTGTTAAAGTATGAAATACGGCATATAAAAAGTTCTTTGAACCAGTTCTAGCTACTTTTAGTCAGTTTTAAACCACTTACATCAGCTTTGCAATGATGTGATGCGTGTGAATACGCTTCATCATGCTGCATTTAGACGTAGAATTTAGATGGTGTAGTATTTATGTTAGCGTTTTACATTTTAGATTATTAACAAACATATATACACCGAAGAGCCATTACATTATGACCACCCTCCATCTATAACAATGGGTTCGCCCAGGTTTTCATGGTTTCTCGCCCAGGAACAATGTTTTCATGGGGCACATTAGGACCCATAATCCTCATAGAACAATCCCTGACATCTGTAAGCTACTTGAACACAGTTGCAGACTAAGTTCACTCATTCATGGCAACAGCTCTTTCTGCGGGGGATGGTGTTTACCAACAGGATAATGCACCATGTCATAAAGGTTGAATCATCATGGATTGGTTCAAGGAACATTCCAGTGGCTTTCAAATCGTGTCTTGGCCCCCAAATTCACCTGACCTTAATCTAATAGAGCATTTGTGGTCTTACTTGGAAAACCAAATTCGTGCTGCCAAGCAACCCCCTCGCAATGTGAGGGAATTTCAGGACCAGTTGGTGAGTGCTTGGTACCAGATACCTCAGACTACCTATCAGAACCTTGTGGAATCAATGCCACGGTGGGTGCTAGCAGTTTTGAGGACTAAAGGTGGTCCTACATGTTATTAGCAGGGTGGTCAAAATGTAATGGCTCTTTGGTGTATATATTTGTTGTTGTTGTTCATTTACGTCGCACTAGAGCTGCACAATGGGCTATTGGCAACAGTCTGGGAAACATATACGTATATAATAGTGATATAGTGACACTTTAAAAAGAAAACTGAAAAGCAATATTACCAAATTAGTCACATGCGCAATATTTGTTTGTCATTAATTTTTTGATACAATACGTGTAGATCATTCATTTTTTGATGATTCTGTAAAATTTTTAGTTAAGAAAAAAAAAAGAACACTTGAAAGTAAAATAAATCATCACAAAGATATTTGACTGATTTTGATTAATCAAATAACAGCATTATTTAGAGCTGCGTTTTGTCCCAAGCTGCACTTAAAGCTACGCCATTGATAGTAACTACAATACTCATTGTAAACATTTGTTTTCAGTAATATCAGCTAGTAGTAGTAGTAATATTTTGATTTATTTCAGTAAAACTTTTATGAAGAAAATATAAAAGTTAAATGAAGTGGACCAAAATATTTTAATGCTTCACTTTCACAGCAACTGTGTGTAACTAGCATAACCTCTCTTAAACATTACAAAATCATAGTGAAGTTTACCAGAAATATCATTCTTGAATAATGACTTCCTTGCATATTTATAGAAAAGCTTTCATGAAAAACTATCCAAACAACCGTTACATTAGCTACAATAATAAATATTATCTAAGGCAATATAGCCCATAGCATAACCCTCATATAAACCATTTATAAGGTTCAATGTATTCCCGCTAAATGAAATGAAACAGCACAATAAACGCTGCTTCAACGCTTGTTTTGAAGAAATTCTGATAACATTATAAATAATATCCCTACTCATGAATCTAATATTCTGTAAAAATAAATCTAAAAAAAACAATTTTAGTAATTTCTGTTGTAAAATTCATAACAATTAAACGTTGAACTACTATAATATATCAGAGGAGGTCGTTACTATTTTTAATCGATTGTATTACAACAAAAATAACCCTAGAACAAATCAAATGAAATATACGTGCTTAAGAAAATGTGTCAATTTAAAATAATCACCTTGATCTTAAATCTACAGCCATTAGAAAATGATTTTAAGAAAAATAGCTCGCATAATCCGAATTAACAATGCATGTTTGTTGCTATGGTAACTAAATTAATATGAAGCCGAATGTGAAAATTGTTATCGACTGTAAAAATTTAAAAGATTGAAAAAGTGAAACTACCATGTACAATCAGTCCTATTAATTCAGAGGTTTTAAAAACAACTCAGAAAACGCAACGCATTATTGCGATTGATCTTGGCGAGAGTTAGCTTTTGTCACTTATGTTATCAAAAAATCTAAAAAATATGAAGAAAATGAATGGTAAACATTTTCAGTCAAGTAAGATTTTTTCAAAATTATTTTCATCAGTATATCACTCTATAATTTTCCATTAAGAAATTGTATGGTTGAAAAAAGACCGCATTACGGGGCTTTTCAAAATTTATTCAGTTGTTTTCCACTGAAAAGCTACGCTTTGTTGCTCGTTCGTAAATGTTAAAGAGTTCGTACATTTAAAAGGAGTTAGATCAAATTTAGAAGTTAAAAAGATTCAATGTGTATCACTATTTGTATAACTTTTTAGAAATACCCATGTATATGAATTCCTGTCATAAATCAAAACAAATAAAGATTTTGCGATTGTGATGGATGATCATAGTGTGGAGTTTTTCTCGGCTTTAGAAAATTCGAAGTTGAATCCAAAGCATATTTTTTTCTTTAAATTGTTGTGACCAAAAAGATCTAGAAATAAATTGTTTTGTTTCTGAAATTAAAAATGAAATCAAATGTGTATGAAAAATTATCAAGCAAAGAAATTGATTCAACTAATAAATTCCTGCAAAACCAGGTAAATCTTTTTCAATTATATTACAGTATGTTATGTAAAAAATAAGCAGTCCTCTTTAATAAAGGTTCTTAATAGTTTATGCTGGCATATAATCTTGAGAACGTACATATTATTTTTATTATGACTTAATGTGTTTGTGAATATAGTTCGTATTTATAAAATGATAAAAATTTAGATTCTTCATTTGAATTTTTTGTAAATAATTTCTTTATTGATCTTTATTTTATCTTAACTATGAAAATTTAATCTATATTTAAATGCAATACTAACTGTTAACTATATAATCGAGTTTGCTTAAATATTGAATATCACATGCACATTACCATCAACAATGCTATAAGAAACTTTTTAAATGATATGAAAATGCAATTAATATATCTGCCGATTTTTTATTTGGCCAATATTGACATTTTTTTTTTTTTTTTTTATCCACATAGCTTTTTACTGAGTTTTTGAATTACTCTCTGACAATATTTTATTTCCCTCTATTATATAATTATAAAATGATGTGTTTTTTATTGTAATTTAAAAATTAAACAAGTTGTTTTCATTTCAAGTCAATTAAAGAAGTAGTTTTTATTTTCAATTTATTTTATTTGACTATGTCAGTTTAAGTGAGTTTTTTAGTTTTTATTCTCACTAAACTCCTTTATATATCTTAGTTTTTTAGTTAACTTGTTAGCTAGAAAATATTTTTCAGGTTAAATGTATAATATTCTTTAATATTAAAGTAGTAATGAGTGACATTGTAATGTGAAAGAATATTGTGCTAAATTATTTTAGGGAAGTTAATAAATTAATATCTAAATGTTTTAAATATTAAAATTATTACAATACAATTTAAGCTAGCGTATTTAACTACATTTGAGTATTATTATAACAAGCTTGTAAGAAACATAAAATGAGGTGATATTAGTTTTTATCATCTTTTCAGCTGGTAAATTCTCTATAATTATAAACACTCAAGGTATAGAATTCATAATACCTAAATCTGATATAAGAGGTACAACTTTTATAATAAGAATTTTTAAGTTATGAGTAATTCATTTGTCTGTTTCAATAAACTAACTTTAAACATATAAAAATTAAGTGTTTATTATGAGTTAAAATTATCAATCACTGCATTTTTAGGAATGAATTTCTTTCTTGGAATTGATAAAATGAGCAGCTTTGTATTTTTTCTATTTGTTTTCTAGTTAATTTTTATACCATATATTTACTATCATTTTATTTTTATACTTTATGTAACACTATATTTGTGGCTCTTAGAAGTAGAGAATTTTGCATCAAAAGCCCCTACTATAATAATCATCTAAAGTCATTTAAATAAATCTTATTTTCTATTTCTATAATTATAGTTTATATAAAGATTTTTTTTGCACAGAATCTTGTAGAAATATGGATGATTTTAAAAATATGTTTTAAGGGAGGTGAGGATGGAACACTTTGTACATTTAAGGAAGTTGTTACTATACTTTTAAGTTTCTGCAACTCGCATTTGATACTCATTTGGATGGAGATTTATAATAATCACGTAAAGTCATTTAAATAAATCTTATTTTCTATAATTATTGTTTATCTATATATTAATAGGCTAGCAATATTTTGTCTCGCTAAAAACTCCCAAACTACGCAACAGAATTAAACAAATAAGGTGTCGTTTTAAAGGTATTGTTATGTAGATGTGCAATAAGGTCTTAAATTATGAAAATTTCCTTTAATTAATTAATAAAATTAATAATTTAGTTTCAACCAATGAGAATTCAGCAAATCATTTTTCGGGTGGTTCGCATAAGCATTGTTTCCGTAAGCATCGTTTGATTTAAAGCATTTCTGAATTAATAGATTGATAAACAAAAATAAGAGTGGATAAAAAAAACGGAACTGAATTTCTTAAAAAAAGAATTCAATATCTTTAGTTCCTTTGATAAATTTTTAGTTTCATGATAAATTTTTTGTTTCGTTACAATAGAATGGCAATGGCATCGTGCGAATATTCAAACCAAAACAAACGTGCGAATATTCAAACCAAAACAAACTTTCTACAAACAATTATTTTGATTTGAGATTTAAAACGATATCTTAGTTATTTAGTTCTATTTTTATTTATTTAGTGCCTGCTGCCTAAATAAAATGCCTGCTATCAGGCGTCGAAATATCTCTGGCAGACGTCAGAGAAATGAATGGCGGAATTCTAAACGGGAAAGCATTTCTTATTGAGATATATTCTCTGCTACAGCTCCAAATTTCTCAGCTACATGAAGAAAAGATAATCAAATTGTGAAGGGGGCAGAGAAGTGTATAAATTTCATTAAGTAATTGATTTCAATATCTGGCATTTTTATTTTAAAATTTAAATTTGTTAAAATGTTTTTATAAGATTGCGAAGCAATATGCAATGGAACTGCGAAGCAGTTCTGGGGGTTGGCGAGCGTAGCGAGCAGGGGGCGGTGCCCCCTAGTATAAAATTAATTCAGATAAATGCAGATTATAATTATAATAATAGTTTACTAAAATTTGTTTGGGTGCAAATAAAAGAAAAAAGTTACAGAAATTAAGCGTGAAATATTATTATTAAAATAAGAAAATTCTTTACTATCTATACACGCCAAGTATTTTGCTAAGCGCCGGAAAAATTTAAAATTGCTAAATTTTTTACTCTAAGCATTTGTTTATCACAACTAAAACATTGGTTATTTATTTATTTGTTCTTTATTGACTCAACAGCATTTTATGGGCCAAGGTCTTCTTTATAATCGTTTCTCATTTTGTTCTCATTTTCACATGAGGAATCTAGTTGGGTTTTTTTCTCCCCATTTTACTTCAAGGGAAAACTCTTTAAATAACATCTTTAAAAGAAATATAATTTATATGGCATAATAAAGTTGATAAATAAAACAGAGTAGTATGAATATGATAGAGATCAAAACAAAGACAGTTTCTTCCTCAGTGGGAAAAAAAAACACTCTAAAAGAAATAGGTTTCTTCCAACCCAAGTGAAAGAAATGAAAGAAACTTTTTTTCAGAAAGAAATATAAATTTTTTTAAACAATTTATAATTGCAATGTAGTTTAGATAATTGTGTTAATTTCCAAGCTATTTAATTCATTATTTATAAATAAGTGAAAATTGAAAAGCAATAAAGAATTGTTCACAGATGTCACTTTTTTTTTCAATCTCTTGGACTCTCATCCCTTTTGTCATAATTTCGCCCTTTTGCTGTTCAGAAACAAAAGACATGATATAGTATAGATCAGTGGTTACCAACTGGTGACCCGCAAACTAAAATATATTAGTTGTCATTTTTTGCAGACAATTTTCGTGAAAAATCTATATGGGTTTAAAATACTTTTCTTTTGTTAAAAAAAACCTAATTTCTTCATTTCTGTGAAATTTAACATACCAACGGCGCAAAAAAAATTTTTTCTCAGGTTTTGCATCCAAGAAAATATTTATTCAAATATAAAAGTAATCGTGTATGTTGCTTAAAAATCTACTTCTAATTTTAATTTGTAATTCAATACGTTTGTTTTGTACAACTTGATAGAAATCTGACTGTGATATTTAATGTTCCTTCAAACATAAAAGAGTTCGATATAAAATTTTGATAAAGTTGCTGTCCGCCATTTGACTGGTGTTTTTAATTATGGCCCCGGCCTCATGTAAGTTGGAAACCCCTGATCATACCTATTTCATTTTTTTTAAAACTTTTAACTATGTTATTGTTATTTGATTATTATCATATTAGTGCATAACTATAATAATAATTGCATGTGTACTTAATTTTATGAAAAAAAGTATAAAAACGATCAAAAAATATTTACCTAGCTGATTTTTTTTTAAACCAAAATGTTTTTTTTTTTTTTAACTTACACTTCTTGTTATCCCTTCCTCCCCTGCTTAGGCGTAACGTGAGGGGGGGGGGGAGAGACTTTTTGTTTTTAGAAAGCGGTTCGTTTATTTTAAGTTATATTCATATTTATGCAGAAAACTTAAAATAGACTACCAGGTTTCTAAAAGCAAAAAGTGCACCCCCTCATTCTACGCCTAGGCTCCCTAGACATCAGATGTGGATAACCTTAAATTGGAAAAGTAATTTTAGTGAGTTTCTTAAGGAATTAAGTCAACTGAATACTTTTCTCGATATTTTACATAAATGAGTATAGTAAAATCTAATTTTATAATTATAAAAAAAAAAACTAATATTAGTCCAATTTTATTAATATAATTAAATTAACGAATCCCAACAAACTACGACAAATAACAAATTGAATTCCAAATTATAAATTGTAATCTAATTTTTTTTTAACAAACTCTCTTTAATGTAAATACTCAAACCAAATATGATAAATTGATTTTAAAATACTTTTTAAATCTATAATAAATCATAATAGTTCTTTTAAAGGGTATGGGAAAGCTTTTAACTTTCTGATATTGTATTAAAGTTTTGTTTAATAAATTATACCGTTCTTAAAATATTTATTGCTAACAATTTTATTGTTCTCTTCTCGTTTTTTCCAAGTTATTCCAATTTTTTTCAGTGTATCGAAAGAAGTTGGTTTCATCCTGTTGAAATCCCTACATTGGAAATAATAATATGAGGTTTTGAACTAAAAATAGAAAAAATAAAATTACCAGATTTTTTTTTCTTCCAATTTAAACAAGATGCAAGAACGGATAAAATTTAAAATTTCAAAAACTTTCGTATAATTTTCCCTTTTCTACCATACATACAAATATCCTGCAGTGATATTGGGGAAAAAATGAATGAATTATTAAATACGAGTAGATAGATAATAATAGTCAATAAAATGTTTTCTCCCAACCTATTATTTTATTGTCAAAATGGCGGATAAAAATTGCGCATAAATAAACTAAGTCTATTTTATTTTTTTTTTTTAATGAAATGACATGCTAACATTAAGGAGTTTTCTGTATTTAGTAGTTCTTATCTTAAAAAAAAAAAAAAAAAAAATTTAAAATGAATTATCTATGTCTAC